AGAGAGAGAGAGAGAGAGAGAGAGAGAGAGAGAGAGAGAGAGAGAGACAGAGAGAGAGAGAACACAACCAGTAGAAGTTAGTTCTTTCCTACAAGCATTTGGGCTTTGAGATACAAACTCAGGCTGTCAGACATTGCAGCAACCACCTTCTTCAGTTATGTTAGTGGTCTTCCCATGACATTCTTATTTTTAAAGACATGCATAACATGAAATTAAGAGTTTAATCACTTTCCTATTCACTTAACTTTGCATATTTCTAATATTAAAATAAGGTTTTACAATTTACCCATTCCAAACACAGCTCATTTGTTCAGTTGGTGATTATCCCTTTATTAATGTTAAACTAATCCCTGAATATAAAATTTAATAGAATCTATATGAATAATAAGAAACAGTTTTGAATTTAGGAGGTTGAACATACTACTTCGATTTTAGTGTCTTTGTTTCTAGCTCTATGTACCTGCCCAGAGGAAGTACCAAATCACCAGCAATGGTTCAGTGTGTGACTGGTACTGATGATTATGTCTGTCTACTATATCATCAGATCCTATCTATTTAAGCTTATGGATGCTTCCATGGGCTCTAATTTAACCTGACCTGGGCAACTTAAAGTAAGAGAAATCTGTTGGCTAATGATTTCATAGGACTTTGTTTTTTGCAGTGAGACAGGAGTATAAGAGCAACTAAGTTCACATCATAGCAGGTCAGAGAGCAGGGAAAGGGGAAGGACATCATCCCAGTGATTCTTTTTCCTCCCTTATCCACCTTTCCCATATTTGGTTGGAATTGCTGGTCACTTCATGGGCAAATCATTACCCCTGTTTAACTTTTCTGGAAATGTCCTCAGACATCATAAATATATGTGTATACCCAAAGGTATGCCTTGAAACCTTCTCAGTGGTTCTGAATTGAACTGAGCTGATCATGCTGATCAACAACCATGGGTGCCTAAATTTACTCCTGGAAAATTGTCTGCAAAAGCCCTGATGTCAGGAGAAATGTTGTCTAGCAAAGGAGAGAACCCCTGGACTCTGGTTTCCCTTTGGCAAGTTGTGACACTGCTGTAGGAAAGATGGAGCCAGGTTGTATATTTCTCTCCTCAATTTGGAGCCTAATCAGTTTATTTTTCTATTTCTCTATCTTATATCATATTCTCTTACTGCAGGGAGGCATCAGAACGGGAATGTATGGCCATAGACTCAAGGAAGATCTTGCTGGTGTCATACTAGATGATGGTCCTTCTTAAGCAATAATCTACGGAACAGATAAGTAAGCAGCAGGTGTATCATTGAGGTCTTTGCTACAACCAGCATACATGGAAACATTTTGTAGTGTCGATGTGAAATCCTTACCCAAGAAAGCATCACTGAAGAAGGATCATTAGTCAGAGAGCCAGTGGCCAGGAACAATACCTGGACCCTTGTTATACCTGCCATTTCTTCTGTCACATACTATGAGACAAACTGCTAGCCTCTTTCAACCAATAAGGAAAGAGATCCAATTTTTTTGCATGCATTTGAAATCATTACCATTTATAAAGTCCACAACCACATGTAGTTGCCTAAAACACCCACCAAATGATCATGTATTCTTCTACTAGTGGCCCTTTGACAATAGGGACAAATTTAAGAGGCAATTTGGTCAGTGTACATGCTCTGTAGCTTCAAATCAATGACATGAGTGAGCCCGAGAGTCAGATCATTCAACTTATTATGAAATTTAACTATGATAATATATGGAGCTACTTAAATGATCTTCATGGAACATCACTTATTCAAATCTCTAACTGCATATGGTGTATCCTCAATCGAACTGCTCCTAGCAGGTGTGCTTAGGTTTTCCTGCATGCTTTGTCTTTTTTTTATTATTTTTATTCTTTAATTTATTTTAACAGTCTAGTCTTTATCCACCTCTCAGACTGACCTCTGACTGTTCCTCATACCATGTCCCCCCTTCAAGAGGATGTCCCAAGCGGACCACTCCCACCCCACCAGGCTTCCCCACTCCCTGGGTCCTCAGGTTTCTCCAGAGTTAGGTGCATTTTCTCATACTGAGGCCAGACCAGGCAGTCCTCTGCTGTATATGTGTTAGTGGCCTCATATCAGCTGGTGTATGTTACCTGGATGGTGACTTAGTGTCTGAGAGATCTCAGAGGTCCAGGTCAGTTGAGACTGCTGGTCTTCCCATGGGGCCCCTCAGCTTCTTCCAGCTTTCCCCAATTCAACCACAGGGGTCTCTAGCTTCTGTTCATTGGGTGGTAGTATCTGCATCTGACTCTTTCAGCTGCCTTTTGAACCTCTCAGAGGGCAGTCACGCTAGGCTCCTGTCTGCAAGCACACCACAGCATCAGTAACTTGTCAGGCACAGGGTCCTGCCCTTGAACTGGATAACAATTTGGGTCTGTCATTGGACAGCCTTTCTCTCAAGATCTTCTCCATTTTTGTTTCTGCAGTTCCTTCAGACAGGAACAATTCTGGGTAAGAGTTTTTGACTGTGGGATGGCAATCTAATTCCTCTACTTGATGTCCTGTCTCTCCACTGGAGGTGGACTCTACAAGTTCCTCCCTCCCACTGTAGAGCACTTCATGCTTTGTCTTTTAAATAAATATTTAACACCCTGTTTCTGTCTATAAATTTGTTATTGAAGTGAACAAGAAGCTGGATCTCTGTAAGGGTGTGAATTCCCTGGTCAACCTCTTTCTTACAAGTTTGCAAACTTCCAAACTGAAAATACATGGCATTTTTTTGAGCATTCACAACATGCTAGTCAGTGAATTTAGTACCTGGCAATGTAAAAATGAGTTTTGATTATATTTTACAGATGAAAATGCTGATATTCAGAGAGGTCAGAGGGGCTGTCAGTCTGAAGATACTTTCTACAATTAAGAAGAAAGGTCAATACTCTCTGTATATTACAATTTAGATTTAAAGTATTCCCCCCATCATATCTCATGCTGATACAGAGGGTTGCAGAGATGCACTGGCTCATCTTGCAAGAGAAAATGGTTTAGGTGTCCAGCACTTACATGGCTACATGATGGCTCATACTCATTTGTAACTTCAGTTCCAGCGGATCCAAAAGTCCTTTGCTGGCCTCTACAGGCCAGAATTCTTGAAGAGTGTCTGTCTCATGAAAGACTCTAGATTAAAAAGAGATTAATTCATTTTTGATAGTGTCATTGGAAGGTATGGGGTCTTTTAAGCAGGAGATGTATCCTTAAGGAACTTGTCCTATGCTCCTTTCCATATCTCTATTTTGTAAACTCCATGAGATGAATAACTCTGCTACATCCGATGCTCTCTCATTGCCCTGCCTAGAAATGTCAGAGCCAGCTGTATACTTTCATATATAAAACTACTATCTGAATAAATCTTTCTACCTTTTAAGTCAAAATGCTGAGTTGTTTGTCCCAATGACACAAAACCTCACGTACTAGCTACAAGTTTTACAGTACATTTTTTGAGCTAGAGTTCCCTGGAGAAGCCACATCTATCCTCAAGCGCTTGTAGACTGTTGGACATTGACTGGGGTCATGGTGACTGGAGAGTAATAAAATGTTTCATATTGAGAATCAAAATTACCTTAGCTGATTTTATTGTTTCTTAGAAACATCCTTTGTACTTAGTTTAACATCCCAGTAGACCTTAAATAAAGCTCCTGAAATGTGTTGTTGTGCTTCATAGATCTCTAGCATTGGCAGCCCTAAAGATAAGAATGTTTTAACATCTGTAAACCATGTAAGAGATTTCTCCAACTGAGTGAAGCCCATCACCCCAGTGGTTGTACATGATAAATGTGCTGCTTATAGTCTTTCTTTTTCCGGGCCTTATGTCTTCTTTCCATGATGGAAAAACCATTCAGGCTAATTTGAACCCAATTTTTGAGCTATGGTCAATCATACTTGGCTCAGAACAAACTATTTACTTATTTTCTATAGCAGGCTGCTATTTTTTAATCATCTAATACAAAGAACACATCCCCTGGACCCAGTTGCTCCCCAGCGTTGAGCTGAATGTACCACTTTGTTAATCATGGTATGTGATCTCTGAGATCATAATTTGAGGCTCAAGCTTCACTGGCTACAGTTTTCATGTCATGTGTCATGTGTATCAAATCACACAGCTATCACAGAACTCAGAGCACTATATCAGTCACCATTTCCCAGCCATGGAAGTCTATACAGTTTTCTTCTGGTCAGACCCTTGATGGACTATAATGTATCTGTTAGAATCTGGAAGACAAGTTGGAAATGATCTTGCAGACCATTTCACTGGTTTTGCTGGCACCTGTCTATCTGTCAGGAAAATATTATGGTTTTTCTCAATGGCTTCTCTTGTGCTAGTTGGCTGCCTTCCATATGATAATTTTAGTGTTCCCAGAGCAGAATCAGGCAGCCTGGACACACAGTGACCATGAGGTTTTTCTCAAGGCATTTTACTAATGTCTTGTTGACCAACAGACGTGAAGTGGCCAACTTAGATTCATAAACAGAGACTTTCCCTTATTGGAAACAATCTATGTAATTACACAGCAAAAGGCCATTTTAAAATCAATTGTGATTATGATTTTCAGGTCTTCCTTCTTTTGCTACAATTTATATCTTCGAAGTAACGTGGGTGATATTCCATGAAAATATATCTTCAATCTGGAGATTGCTTTCTTCAGACTATCTGAAGAAAGTCTGTGGTAGTGTGTTAAACTCACTACCTTAAACCTTTGGTTAGAAATGGAAGACTTCTAAGCTTATCACTGCAAGGAAAATCTTTCATTATTCATACTCAATTTATTTCTTGCATCATCTGAAATGTCTTTCAAATGTCCTCATTTTTTTCATATAATTCCTGCTGAATATTACAAGTGAGATCAAGGCTGAATGCATGAGGATGTTGGTGAGATCTTGCAGTTTTAGTGCATACACTGAGTTGGCCAATTGTCTCAGAGTCAGCAATGTCACCTTATCTCCTTCTCTGGTGAAATTAAAGCCAATTCTCTAAACAAGACTTACGTAATGAATTAATAATTTTCTTGATTATTCTGGAATTTTAGTCTAAGAAGATCTCTATTATCCAGAACTTTATCTTGCACTGCTACAAGAAATAAACACAAACACACACACACACACACACACACACACACACACACACACACACACATATATATATATATATATATATATATATATATATATTGCTTATTAAGTCAATTTACTCATAAGGAAAAAGCACCTGAAATTTTATTAACTTACAATCAATGATACTCCACTAAAATTTAATTCTACCAATTAGTGACTATGAAAACATTTAGGCTTTAACATATTAAATTTATCAACTAAATTCTATATATATAATACATACATATATAATATATATATTATATATGTGTGTGTATTATATGTATTTATGTGTATTCATATACCTCTGTGTG